TAAGAGAGCCCAGGAAATTTGGGCCAAAATTCTCTGTCTCCACTCGTTAGCTGTGGGACCTGTGGCTGGTCTGTCGCCTCTCCAACACTCAGATTCTGCTATAGTGAACATGGCCTACTGCCTTCCCAATATGTTGTGGTCAAATGAACCAACAAGTGTTTAGTAGATGGAAAGATTATAAAGCACAGGCGGAAATAGGATACTTTCTTTCTCATGGCATACGCTCCTGCTTCTTTTTACAATTATTTATATTTATTTATTTATTTTTAAAGATTTGTTTATTATGTGTACAGCATTCCTTCCATGTGTGTCCGCATGCCAGAAGGGGGCGCCAGGTCTCATTATAGATGGCTGTGAGCCACCATGTGGTTGCTGGGAATTGAACTCAGGACCTCTGGAAGAGCAGTCAGTGCTCTTAACCGCTGAGCCATGTCTCCAGCCCTTATATTTATTTATTTTGAGACAAGGTCTCACTGTGTAGCTCTGGCTCTCCTAGACCTCACTAGGTACACCAGGCTGTCCTTGAACTCACAGAGATCTGCCAGCCCGTTCCTCTGCTCTGGGATTAAAGCCATGCACCACCAAACCTGGCCTACAGTTGTTTATTAATATTGTTATTTGCAGTGCCAGGACATTGTGTGTGCTAGGCAAGGGCTCTACCACTGAGTCATAGCCCAGCCACTATTTTGAATATTCTCCTATGGAAATATATAATGTGAAATATGTTGCTTTAAGCATGCTGATTTAGAGTGGTATTAATTCCATCGCAGTGTCGTGCGACTATGGCCACTGTCTATTTCTTAAACTTTTCTGTCAACTGCCATACTTTTTTCCTCTGAGAGTGCTCTCATTCATGGGACCAAGCCTACCAGTGGCCACCCACCCGTGTTCTAGTAGTCTACATCTTTTCTGTTCTTATACCTCCAGGGTCTAATCTTGTTTCTCCCATTTACTATAAGCTAAGAGTAAAAACAAGAGGAAGGCCAGGAAAGACTGCCCATAACCAGATCATTAGCATATAGGAAGACTAGCATAATGGTGCAAGGGTTCCCTGAATCCAAAGCAGAAAGTAGCCTTAAGGGAGGGAAGTTTGTTTCTTCCTTGAATCAGTAACCAGGTGTGACCTGTGCATCTGGGTCCTGCCTAGCACTAGGGGAAAGAGTCGAGCTCGCTTATACTCAGGCATCACCTGGGAGCAACTTGGCATAGAGGTCTCAATGAACTCCGGGCACATGAGCTGCAAGTCATCACTGAGCATCATAGCATGTGAGCACAGAATAGCCATGCCCAGCAGGGGAGCCAGCTGCACCAGCTATACAGAGTCATGGCTGGCTGCCTGGGTAAGAATGACTGGAGTACAGGGTGGGGCTCCAAGGCCAATCTGAGTAAGATCTGACTGAACACAGAACACATGGGCACCAAGTTTGGGCAAGGCCTATGCCTCAGTTTGGTGGGATGCAGGCTCAGGCCTAGGACTCAGGCCTGATGGTCTCTCTGGTGGCAGTTCCGTCGGACAGCGCTACATCGAGCCTCCCTGGAGGGTCACATGGAGATACTGGAGAAACTTCTGGAGAATGGGGCCACTGTGGACTTCCAGGATCGGGTGAGAGGGCAGGTACTGGGTGGGAGGTAAGAGGTGGATCTAGTATCAGTAGAATTCTACTTCCTGTCCACTCTGTGCCAGAAGACTGCCAGTAGGGGCCTTTGTGTGTTCTGTGATATTGGGCAAGCCCTATCTCCCCCCTGAATTACCTCTGTGACTCTCACTTGGATTAGTTTGGCCCTGGGTTGTCTGTCCTACTCCTCGTCCCTTTCTTCTTTCTTTCTTTCTTTCTTTCTTTTCTTTTTTGTCCTCTGCCTTCTTGGCTTCAATCCTTTCCCCAGGAAACTTCCTTCCCAACAGCTCTGCTATTAAGTTCCATCTATCCCTTCCAGCTGGACTGCACAGCCATGCACTGGGCCTGCCGTGGAGGCCACCTGGAGGTGGTGAGGCTCCTGCAAAGCCGAGGAGCCAACACCAATGTGAGAGACAAGGTGAAGCTGCAGCGCTCAGTGCAGTACACGTTGGGATGCTGCGAGGCGAGGCGGGGCGGGGGGGCGGGGCAGCAAATGGCAAGCAAGCTCACGTGGTAGGTAAGCAGTGGGCTAGCCTGGTTTCTAGCGTGACTGCGGAGAAGCTTCAGGCCCTCCAGGGAGCTTGGGAGCAAGTGCTGAGAGGCGAGAAAGACAAAAGACCTGCTCTTGTGGAGGCGTGGTCCACCGGGAGGATGCAGGATTTGTACACCCATGCCATCCTTCATTATTCACCTGCCCATCCATCAGTTTATTATTTATTCATTTACTTATTAACCTACCATCCTTCCATCCATCTATTTCTTTACATGCAATCTCAACCTCTCAGACACTCTTCTTCAGTTTTAAAACTTGTGGAGTTCTTACATAGGTTAGGAAGGGAATGTTTGTAAATAAATTACTTTTTAACATAGGAAGCTTTTGCCATCTCTATCACAGTCTTCCTCAATTAATGACATCTGATATAATTAGTAAAAAGAAGCTGGGCACGGTAGCACACACTTTTAATTCCAGTACTCAGGAGGCAGAGGCAGGAGAATTTCTAAGTTCAAGGATAGCCTGGTCTATGCAGTGATAATTTGTCTCATTAAAAAAAAAAACTTTTAAAGGAATGGACTGGGAGGGTCACTTAGTAGTGGCATCCTTGCTTAGTATGTGCAGGACCACGGGCTCAATCCTCAGCATCCCAATGAATAAACTCGCCAATTAATTAAAGAAGAACCTAGGCGTAGTAGTGCCCCTCTGCAATCCCAGCACTCGGGAGGCATTGGCAGGGGAACTGAGAGTTTGCAGCCACCTGGATTACATAGTGGGGCCCTGTCTTATTTTAGAGAGAGAGAGAGAGAGAGAGAGAGAGTAGAGGTTTGGACAGTAGTAGCTCATTGCTAAGCAAGAGGGGAACCGTGATAGGCTACCCAGAGGACACAGCACTTAAAGCTGTCTGTTTAGCTCACTGGGAAGGATAATGGCGTGTTGTACCAGTGTCTCCTGTCCAAGGCTCAGTCAGGCCTTGACGCTTAGACTTGGGAGTAGGATTAGGCTAGAGATAAGATAGCTCCCCACCCCAGGACACCGTATTCCAGACCCACTGCCAAGAGTCCTGCTTCTCCCCACACAGCTCCTGAGCACTCCCCTGCACGTAGCCGTTCGCACTGGACACGTGGAGATTGTGGAACACTTTCTGTCTCTGGGCTTGGATATCAATGCCAAAGACAGGGTGAGTACTTGCCTCCTCCCCTGCTCAGCCACCGTGGGTGTCAGGGCAGCTCACGGGCTGCCGTGGCGAGTAGTCCTTCCCCACAGGACCCTAGGGCTACAGCCTCTGAACAAGGCCCAGCTCCTATAACCCTACTCACCCACTGCCATGTGTGACCCCGACTCTAGGAAGGGGACAGTGCCCTACATGATGCCGTGAGACTCAACCGCTACAAAATCATCAAACTGCTGCTCCTGCATGGGGCTGACATGATGGCTAAGAACCTGGTGAGTTGATTTCTCTGGCTGGCTGGCTGGGTGAGCACTTAAAGCTGCAAATGCTTACTGGTCTGCAGAGGCACTGGGGCAGCCACAGCCTGGGGGCAGCCACAGCCTAGCTACACACACCATTGGCTCTTGGCCACACCACCCTAACCACCTACCTTCCCAGATCCCTCTTTCTGTGTCAAGGTTCAGACCACAAGTTCAGAGAAACAATAGGAGAGAGGGGGTGAGAGAACTTCCCTAAAGTCCCCCTATAGGACAGAGTGGAGCCCAGTGTCCAGGCCCAATTATGGAGGTCCCGCTGGAAGAGAATCCAAGTCCTTGGTTGGTGTTGTGACCATTCTAGCACATCATGTTGGTTCAGAGTGAGCCTCAGGATTTTGGAGAATAGATGTCCTCCGATCCAAGCCTGTCTTTTGGTCCACAGAACAATCGCTAAAGAGGAGCATAGAAAGATTTGTCTGGCACAAAAAAGGCTCAGAGACACTGAGGAAGGGAGGAGCACGTGGAGAGGGCGTGATTGGTCTCCACTCAGCACTGCAGGCTTTGGTGCTGGACAATTCATAACGAAGGGACTTTCCTATGCATTGTAGGATGGTTATGCAGCACCCCAGGCCTCTGCCCACTCGATATCAGTAGCACCCACAACTTCTAGTTGTAAAATGCAAGATGTCTTTACCTCTGGCCATTTGCCTCCAGTTGAGAACCACTGTTGTAGCTGAGAGCAATTTCTGAAGCCTGAATAATCTCCTCCTATTCTCTCCAGGCAGGAAAGACCCCTACAGACCTCGTCCAGCTATGGCAAGCAGACACTCGGCATGCCCTGGAGCATCCTGAGCCAGAAACAGAACAGAATGGACTGGAGAGGCCTGGGAGTGGGCGTGAGACCCCCCAGCCAGTACCAGCCCAGTAAAAGCTGGGCAATAGTCCCCTACTATGGAGCTACTTGCAACCAGCCTGGCAGGAACACCCACAGACTCAACACAATAAAATGCTGTCTTTGGTATTTGTGGTCTTTGCGTCCCTTTGCGCTCCAAACACGCAGGAATGGAAAGTGGGTGTGAACTTGGAAACAAGGGAAAGTGGAGCCTTGACTCCTGAGCTAGGAAGTCTCCCTCCTGTGGTCTTGCTTTATCCACATCATCCTGCTTTCATCCCTCATCCCTAGGGCCAGAATTGTGATATAGTTCCTCTCTGTGGTATACTCATTCTCTGCCCTTCAGTCCCCAAGACTGTTCTATGGAGGTGTGTGTCCTGCAGAGAGGGCTAACACACAATGGCCTTGGTTGGAGCCTGGTAGACAGGAGGCGTGGTTTTTCCCACAGCTGCTTCTTGAACCACGGGTCAACCCCGCTGCAGTGGGGCGGGGCCAGGCCAGCTCAGCCAATCAGTTCCGTCAGACTCAGACCAGCCTGGACGGTGTTGTGTGTGTTGGGGTAGGGGAGCTGACTCTTGAGTTTGAGGCTGTGGGAAGAGGGCCCAAGCTCCGTCCGAGACACTTTTTAGTGTAAACCCCAGGAGCCAGCTCTCTTTCAGGCCAGAGCTGTGGCATTTCTCCAGCTTCTTCTTCCCAGCAGGCAAGAAGACCAGCGTCAAGCCTCTGGGCCCGCCCCCAGGCTACACTCCCCTCACGTCCACAAGTTGTGGGTTGGGGCCACGAATTTTTAACTGGGTCTGTTGATCATTAACAGTGGGGAAAAGGAGTCCAAACTCAGTTCCCCTGTGGCTGTAGACAGCTGGGCCTCAGGCCTCCTGCAGAAATGCTAGGCCGCCAAATCTGGGCCTCTATGAGGCAGGGATTGAGCAGGGGCTTGTCTAGGAATATAAAGGGGAAGAAGGTAGACATTGCCGGCATCTACCCACCTGTGACAACCCCTTTCACCGCCACCGCGGAGGTAGACTATGGGAAACTGGAAGAGAACCTGAATAAACTAGGCACCTTCCCCTTCCGAGGTAAGAGGGCGTTTGGGAAGCCAGATTGGCAGAAGCGGGGAGTGGGGAGGGGGAACGGAGATGGGACGACAGGACACAGGTCTGGCACCATGGACAGAGCCTCACCTGCCTATGTTTCCCAGCTGTGGAGGGCTGAGGCACTGTCTTCTCTACTCCCAGGGTTTTTGAGGGGATCACGTGGGTCAGTGAATGAGGACGTCCTTGTCTACCAGGCCCTCTGCTGATGGGAAGGCCAATGGCCCGTTCACATGGCAGAGCGGCCAGTATCTGCCTCCCTTCCTTCCAAACCTGCCTGGCAGAACTACTCAGTGTGCCAGCCCCTCTGGTTCACCTCTTGTTTTACACACGGGTCCGAGAGATGTGATCACCATCCACAGCCACACAGCTAACACATAGCGGCTGAGATTTGATCCGGCTGATTACATACTCCATTCTGTCCACTTATTCTAACACCTCCTGAGTTGCTGGATTCCCTCTAAGACCTATTCCAACAAATGCTGTTTGGTGTGGCTCTGCCTGAGCAGGCACAGGCTAGCAGCTAGGATAGTGGCCTCTGGTTTCCAATCACAGCTTTGCCAATGGCCTTTCCTATGGAATACTCTTTGCCTGCTTCTCCATATGACACATAGGAGTGATAATGCCCAGGTCGTGGAGTAGCCAGAAGAAGAATCTGGAAGAACAGGAGTGAAAACATGCATGGTATAAATTCTAGAGTGCTGTACATTTGAAGGTATCGATTCCTGGAATGATGATGATGATTATTTTTTTTTTTTTTGATTTTTCAAGACAGGGTTTCTCCGTAGCTTTTGGTTCCTGTCCTGGAACTAACTCTTGTAGACCAGGCTGCCCTCGAACTCACAGAGATCCACCTGTCTCTGCCTCCCAAGTGCTGGGATTAAAGGCGTGCGCCACCACCGCCTGGCTGGAATGATGATTATTAAAAGTGCAAGTGACTCTGTGGCAGAGCTGCTTTGTGACAGTGAGTCCCCCGCCCCAGCTCAGTACTCAGATGATGACGAGTGTTTGTCAAGGGACAAATGGCCTATGGGTGCACACACTGAACAGGGCCAGTGTGTCTGGAGCTTGCTTACGGTGGCCTGGGGTTGGGCTGAGACTTGATTTCCTTAAAGCAAAGCATGACAGCCCTTAGCTTCAGAGAGAACACTTCGTCCGCTTCAGCTGAAGGACCAAGACACTCTAGGGCAGGGGCCGGAGGACTGGATTTTGTATACATTGTATTTCTGCCATCCAGGAGTTCACAGAGACCTCTAGAATTGTCTTTGGATTTTCCCTTTTGCCTCCCTAACTGCTGCAACCAGCATGGGGTACCCTAGACAATTGGGGGGGGGGATTTGGTTTATGGGTTCCTGATGGTATTTGAGTTCTCTATTCACCTCATACCAGGAAGTTGAAGGCTTTAGAGGTCAGGAACTAAGCCCTCAGGCTCTAAGGAAGCTCAGCATAATTCTCCCAAAATAGTCAACCATGCAGCTGGCATAGAGGACATAGAGCCAGGGGATCCCATCACGGCTCCAGCATGCCTTCTCTTGCCTTCCGGAATAGCCCATGCAGTCCAGTGCTCAGGGACAGATGGAGACAGCTGTCACGTAGTACTTTGCATGAGTGTGGGCAGCAAGTCCTCTGAAGAGATGGAACCTTCCTTTGGTGCTTCCGTGAGCGAGCACAGTGTATTCTAGAAGGTGTGCCTCAAGCTCTGGGGTTTTCTGGGTTTTTTTGTTTTGTTTTGTTTTTGTTTAGTTTAGTTTTTTTGAGACAGAGTTTTTCTGGGTAGCCCTGGCTGTCCTGGAACTCACTCTGTAAGCCAGGCTAGCCTCGAACTCAGAGAGATCCGTCTGCCACTGCCTCCCAAGTGCTGGAATTAAAGATGTGCACCACCACTGCCCAGCTGGTTTGTTTTTATATTTTTTTAAGTATTGCTGATCTGTACTGATTATTTAAATGAACAGTATTCTTTTAAAATAAAAGTTAAGAGACTGGAGAGATTACACATTGGGTTCTTGCTGCCAAGCCTGATGACTTAAATTCAGTCTCCAGAACCTATGTAAGGTGGAAGAAGAGAACCAACTTCTGCAACTCATCTCCTGAACTCCACAGGCATTCCAAGAGACATGTGCCCTCCCAAAAATGTAAAATTTTTATTTTTTTAAGACAAATTAGTTAATGTTATCAAATACCATATAAAAACCCACAATAGCCAGGCAGTGGTGGCACATGCCTATAATCATAGTACCAGGGAGGTAGAAGCAGACAGATCTCTATGAGTTCAAGGCCAGCCTGGCCTACAGAATGAGTTCCAGGACATCCAAGGCTACACAGAGAAACCCTGTCTCACAGAGAAACCCTGTCTCAAAAAACCAACAACCAACCAAACAAAAACGCACAATAAATAATGAAAAGACTATGCCAGACCTTTAGCTTCTGTTTGCAGTACAGAAAGTACATGTCAGTTCTGAACCAGAATAGTTCCATTGAAGTACAAAACAGAAATGATAAGGAAGAATCAAAAGATGTGCAATGGCTGCCTTTGGTGGTCAGCAAAACAAACCAGCCACCATTAGCTATTTTGGAAAGAGAAAGTGGCTCCTAATTTGTAGATAAGGGATATCTTTGGTAGATAAATTAATTACTGTTGGAGGAGGCCGCTTATTGGTTCCTGGCTGCTTAACCCCGAAATAATCACACAGAAACTGTATTAATTAAATCACTGCTTGGCCCATCAGCTCTAGCTTCTTATTGGCTAATTCTTACATCTTAACCCATTTCTATTAATCTGTGTATTGCCATGTGGCTGTGGCTTACTGGGTAAAAATCCGTCCGGTGTCTGTCTCCGGCGGGGGCTACATGGCTTCTCTCTGCCTCTGCCTCTTTTCTTTCAGCATGCCTTTTAGTTTTTCCCGCCCACCTAAGTTCTGCCCTATCAACAGGCCAAGGTAGTTTTTTATTCATTAATGGTAATCACATAATCACAACATACAGAGGGGAATCCCACGTCGGAAATCCCACATCATACCGAACACTCAGAAACCATCTGCTACCATACCAGACAGTAATCTTGAAACTCAACCACCACTCCACTTTCACAGGATCCCAGAGAAAGAATACCACCCCCATGAAAGCCGAAAACAATTCTAGAAGACGACGTTCCCCCCCGCCCCAACAAACTACAAACTGCAAAAGCTTGTCAGTCATACATAGAAGCAGCTCTTTGAGGCTAAGAAAATCAGAAGCGGTGTTAGTACCAGCAAGCACAGGGTCTGCTCCTCTGGTTTGCTGTCTTGTGCAAAATGCAGGTTTGAGTGTTGTGCACAGTGTTTTATGGTTATAAAAATGGGCCTTGAGTAAGGGTTCTGTAATCTTAAGCTTCAAATTTTTATTAAGTAAAATAAAAATTATAACCAAATTTGGTGTGCCTAAACAAGACCTGAACAATGACAATATCGATAGACATGCTAACTTGGAAGAGGAAAATCTCATAGGGGTCCCATCCCTAGACAGAGAACTACAGCTAACTACTGACTGCTGAGAGAGGGAGAATTAGTTTCACTCAGAAATGAACCCCTAGTTAGTTATTCAGTACAAAGTGGTAAGCCCAGAAATCATGTACACATGGAGTCGGCAGATTGTATTTATTTTATTTATGCATATATACGTAACAATAAAGAAAAAGAGGCCATCAATTTGAGAAAGAATTAATCAGGGAGACATCGGAAAGGAACGAGGGAAGTAATCTAATTATACTTTAATTTAATTATTTTTTTCAGAACAGGGTTTTTCTGTATAGCTCTAGCTGTCCTGGAACTCACTCTGTAGACCAGGATGGCCTTAACTCACAGAGATCCACCTGCCTCTGCCTTCTAAGTGCAGGGATTAAAGGCTTGTGCCACCACTGCCCAGCCAGACTAATTTAAATTTTTTAATAAAAAAACTTTTGGAAGGTCATAGCCAAAGCCTAGAGGGAGGGGCTGTTCAGAAGGGCCAGTGACCCTGAACTCACACCTGTAAACAGCCTCACAGGTGAACTTTGAGTTGTTATTTCCAATGAGGTTAGTAGAAATTCCCAGAATAGTTCAACAAGGCTGGAGAGCTGAGGTCCCCTAAAGCTTTCAGCTGTACCTTATTCCTACCACATGTAATGTGGACTATGGTTTCTTCTGAAAAAAATTTGTATATATAAAAATTATTACTTGATTAAAGAAAATATTTCAAATAATTTTTTGAGGGGGATGAGAGGTTGAGACAGACTCTTTCTACATAGCCCTGGCTGTCCTGGAACTTACTTTGCAGACCAGGCTGGTCTTGAATCTGCAGAGATATGACTACCTTTACCTTCTGAATGCTGGGATTAAAGCTGTGTGTCACTATGCCTGGTATCAACTTTTCAAAAAGATTTACTTTGTAACATTATGTAGGTATGTGTGTCTGCACATCAATGTTGACAGTGATTTCTGTCCTGCCTGGTCCCGCAGTCATTCAGTCTCAAAGAAATACACTGAGGTCTACATTAATTATAAACCGGTTGGCCTATTAGCTCAGGCTTCTTATTAACTCTTACATCCTACATTAACCCATAATTCTTGTCTGTGTCAGCCATGTGACTTGGTACCTTTTATCATCAGCAAGGCAGTCTCATCTTCCTCTGTCTGAATGACGACTGCCGACTGAACCTTTCCTTTTCCCAGAATTCTCCTGTTCTGGTCACCCCGCCCCTACTTCCTGCCTGGCTACTGGCCAATCAGCATTTTATTAAAACAGTACAAGTGACAAAACTTTACAAGGTACAGGACCATTGTCCCACAGCACATGGACATGGGCATGTTGAGTACAGGAACCAGAGGAGGACAGAGATGTCAGATCCATCGGAGCTGGCATTACAGAGACCGAGCTTATCAAGTGCTGAGCTTGACTGAACTCAGGCCCTCTAAAGAGTAGCAAGTGCTCTTGACCCATCTCTCCAGCCCCTCAAATATCATAGCTTTTTT